TAGTAAAAGTAATGTACCTAGAAAAGTAAAAATGTCCCGTAGTTTAGAAACAAGGGAGTATCTTATTGCAATCATCAATAATGCAAAACCTTAAATCCAAGCAAAGTATATGTCATGGCAGAGATATACTTTAATATATGGAGCACTCTTATTAGCAGAGCAAAATAGGTATCGTATATTGTATACTCCGTATTTAATACTGTATGTGATAACACTGTAGAGTAATAAGCTTGATAATATCAGATATACACACAGTGGGACAAGAATATCTCCGGACCATCATAAATGGTCGGGTTATATGTCATGTCAGGTCACGTCGGCAAATGTCTAGTTCGCTCGTGCCAGCATGAATGATTTTTGGCATCAATGTTTCCCGAAAAGAAGTGTAATTCTCGTTTACGATTGGTCATTTAACTTTAAACTTTATTATATATAAAAAGTCACTAAACATTTGCGATGTATAATAAATATTATTAAATAATTATGAACTATATTTTTGTAATAAATCTATTTAGAAATATAAATGTTGATATTATTTTTATAACTCTAAAATTTTTAAAATAGTTTGATTTTGTTGTATTTTTTCAGATAGAGGTAGTTGTAGATAAATAGGCCAATCCTAGGAGACAGTCTAATATCTTGGTCGTCCAAACGACAGCCCTGTTTTTCGTTTCAGTGCTGAGGCTGAGTACCGGGCTATGGCCAATACAGTTGTTGAGGCTTCTCATGGTTGCACTAGTTATTGGGTGAGCTTTTCTATCCTATCCGTCGAGCCACATTGCATTGGTATATATACTGTGACAACACAGTGTAGTTTACCTCTCGACTAATCCTGTGCAGCATCAGCACATGAACCACATCCAGATTGATCTACACTTTATCCGAGACAAAAGGACATCGATGGGCAGTTCGTGTTCTTCACGTGCCGACATCATCTCAATATGCTGACATCTTCACCAAACATCTTCCATCTTCTGTTTTCACGGAGTTTCATTCTAGTTAGAAGGCGTCTTTGTGGTTTCGTTCTAGTCAGAAGGTTCGTCTTAGTGGCTGACGACGCTTCGACTACAGGGGGTGTTAGACAGGTATGTTCATAAGGCACCTTGTAATCATGTCATTGGGTCTAATTGCTACAGCCCATGCACGCATGGAGCCAACGTACGCTCGGTCAGGGTTCGCTTCCGATCGATGGCAGTGTCCTATATTATGTATTATGATTGATCAGTGAATCTAATCATCGCGTGATTATCAATACGCTTTCACACACGTCACATGTTTTTTTAAGAAGCACACACCACGTGAAAAACAGTTTGTAGCAACAGAGCTTTTTTTAGAGGCGGCTGGCATTGGAGCCGCCCCTACAGTGGCGTGCTCAGGCTTCAGCACAGCAGCCGCCTCTACAAATGTTACAGTAAGGGCGGTTGGTAATATGAGCCGCCACTACAAATGCGTTGATGTGTAGGGACGGTTGGTATTACGAGCCGCCCCTGCTACCAGCAAGCTATGTCGCCCCAATTCAACCCAAATAAATTGATGCATCCCCTTCACGCAAAAAAATAGGCTCCCTCCCACGCCCGGCCTCCCCTCCCGCTCGTCTCGCTCATGCTCCTCTCGCGGCGCGCCGCCTCCGCCGCTCGCGCCCCGTCCCCTCCCCTGCCCGCGCCTCCCCTCCCTCTCCCTCTCCTTCTCCCTCTCTACCTCTCTCTCTCTCGATGTGGTGGCACACTGGCTTGGCCCCAACGCGGGCACCTCCGTCACGTCCTTGCGGCACAGGTGGCGGCGCTGCCGTCGGTGTCTTGCGCCAGCATGCCATGTGGGCCTCCGGTGGTGGCCGCCTCCTGCCACGACGCGGCGCCCGTGAGCCCCGCCGCTAGCCGCGGCACGTGGCTGCCCTCGGCGCAGCCTGCACCTTGTGGTCCTCGCATCGTCCCCTCCTCGGTTTGGTCCCCCCCTCTCTCTCCTTACCTCTTCCTGCCAGATCTCCCTCTCCCTGCGTTCGTGGAGGCTCGCTCCCCTTCACTATGGACGGCGATCTATGTGCACACGAATCAGCTATGCTGCTTTGTGCTATGAAACCCTAGCTGCCTATCCTCATCTTTTTGCTACAAATTTGGTTGCAGGTTTCTGGTCTTTCTTCATGTGCATACCGTTACGAATCAATAGATATTTTTAATGTGTGCTTAGCTACTACTTAAATCTTGAACAACTCTTAGTTCTCATATAGCTATTTGCTTCTTCTGACTTGGTAGTTGTCTTGAGTGTATTTTATTTTGGGTGGACCATATCTATTTCAGGCCAAGCAGGTAGTCACTATTGTCACCAGCTTGTTCAAATTTTATGTTTGGGGCTGAATTTATCATGCTTCAAAATTGGTAATGTCTAAGTTATCTCTATATAACTTACGTGTTGCCATGTTGGTCCGCATAGGCACCATGGCATCACTCCCAAGTCCTCGTAAAGTGCTAAATTAGATCCCATGCCTTTTCCGTGCTACTATAAAGAGATTTCATCATTTTTAGAATAACAGCTCCACATCGGCTGCATGGTGTGTGTTCAAATTGATATTGAATGTGCGAGATCATGTGGCCTATTAGCATGGTGGAGGTGCACTCTCCCCCCTCCCTTAGCTCTCTCTTCGCACTGCTGAAAGCTCTAGTTTGGTTTTGGTAAATTGATGAAACCCTAAGTGCTAACCTAGTTCATCAAGTGATCATGAGATAGGTAGCACACTTCAAGTAGAGAAGCAAATGAAGATCATAACATGACAATGGTGATAGCATGGAGATGATCAAGGGCTTAAACTTGAAGAGAAGAAAGAGAAAAACAAAAGGCTCAAGGCAAAGGTATAACTTGTAGGAGCTATTTTATTTTGGTGATCAAGACACTTAGAGAGTGTGATCACATTTAGGTTTGATAGCCGTACTATTAAGAGGGGTGAAACTCGTATCGGAATGCGGTTATCAAAGTGCCACTAGATGCTCTAACTCATTGCATATGCATTTAGGATCTAGTGGAGTGCTAACACCCTTGATAATATTTGTGTAAATATGCTACCACATGTGCACAAGGTGTTTGTAGGGTTGAGATGGGTTTGGGTCCCTCTCTCCCTCCCACCGAACTTATGAGAAGGGATTCAGCGCTTCGGAAAATGAAATGTCTATTTTCTATTGCGCGGATGCAAAATTCTTGGTGGTTGGCACACTTGAGCAAGGGTGAAGAAGTAAGAGTTGAAATGGAGTTGATCGAAATGATGTCAAGGCGTCGGTCTCATCGACCGGACGCTTGAGTCACTCAATGACCGGACGCCGAAAGGTGCGTCGGCCGGTCATTTGTCGAGCAACATAGTGGCTAGGGTTGAGCACCGGACGCTGGCTGCGTCCGGTCAAGGTGGACCGGACGCGTCCGGTCGAAAAAACATGCCTCGGGGAGCTTACTGGAAACGACCGGACGCTGGGGCTTCAGCGTCCGGTCAGTTTTACCGGAGCGTCCGGTCAGCTTCGCAGCCGTTGAAATCTGATGAACAACTTTTGAAGCTGGTGACGCGTGGCGTCCATCAGGCGACCGGAGCGTCCGGTCAGAGCGCGTTTTGCCCAGTGAAGGGGTATAATGGCTCTATTTGATTGAGGCTCTATTTATAGCCCCATGGCCGGCTCAAGGGATGACTCTTGCACATTTTCATTGACATAGCAACCTTGTGAGCCTAGCTAAAGGACTCCCACTCATCTACATCATTGACTTATCATCATAGTGAGATTGGGAGTGATCCAAGTGCATTGCTTGAGTGATTGCATCTAGAGGCACTTAGTGATCGTGTTTCGCTGCGGATTTCGCTTGTTACTCTTGGTGGTTGCCGCCACCTAGATGGCTTGGAGCAGCAAGGATCGTTGAGTGGAGGAGGTGATTGTCTCCGACTCCGATCGTGGTGATTGTGAGGGGTTCTTGACCTTTCCCCGGCGGAGCGCCAAAAGGTACTCTAGTAAATTGCTTGTGGCTTGTGTGATCCTCATCTTGTGTTGGTTGTGCGGCACCCTATTGAGGGTTTGGCGAGTGATGCCAATCAGCGCGTGAACCTCCAAGTGAGTGAATCGCCACAACGAGGATTAGCTTGCCGGCAAGCAAGTGAACCTCGGTAAAAATCATTGTGTTCATCATTTGATTCCGAGGTGATTGGTCTACATTGGTATTCATTATTATGATTGATTGGTTCCTACCACTACACGGCGGTATAACTCTCTTGCTCACTCTTACATTACCACAAACTATTTATCAAGCTCTTTAGTGTAGCTAGTTGTGAGAGCTTGTTTGTTTGATTAGTGTTGCTCTTTAGTTAGTCTTTGAGAGCACACTAATTTAGCTAAGTGTCATAGCTATTGTGTGGACATACACTATTCAAAATAGAATTGAGGTAGGTGGCTTGCATTTTAGTAGGCTAGCGCAACACTCGCTTCGCCGCAAAATTGTCTAACACATTTTGTTAAGTGTTGTTGTAGAATTTTATTAGGCTATTCACCCCCCTCTAGCCATTAGGACCTTTCAACTGCAAGAATCTTGTTCCCCCTCTCCAAGGAGCCCGTTGGCTCCTGCCGTTCTCTTGTTTTTAAATGTGCAGATCATGTGCAGAACTGATATCCTTCGTTATACAATGATGATTAGTTGTTTCGTTCTTCATGTTATCTACTGAGGTTTTGGGATTGTACAATGATGAATTTTTTTACTGAGACAATAGAATTGTGCAATGATGAATGATTATTTCATTCTTCCATGATTCTTGCTATTTGCATCAGTTTTGTGATGGCAATGTCATTATGGCTCAGCAGTTCTCTTTTGCATGTGTTGTTTTGTTTTTATTAGTTGCTACATTTTGTGCGTTTGTTACTGAGCATAATTCCATTGTTAATGATGTCTTTGATCCACATAATTTGCTAGTTGTTATATTGCTAAGCGCACCCCATTGCCAATGATGTATTTACTCGGCACAGATTTATAGTTGGGTGGCTGCCATGGGTCCCTCTGTTTCGGTTTGCTACAGATCTACCATCTTTGTTTTCTTCCTTATATGTTTTGGTCTTGTCCATCTGGTACATCAACTAACACATTTAAGCTTAAGCTACACTACCCCTGCTGGTCAGTACAATTTAGAGGTTAGTATATATTGTGCCCTTTGTACTACGTTTACCTTTATTTTTGGAGGTTAGTATACATTGCCCCTGCTGATCAGTACCATTTTTTGTTGTTGTTACTGCTCCCCTTGCCCCAGATCCTCCAGCGGCTGCCGCGAGGGCGCTGCCCCTCCCGTGTGCAAAATGGATCTCCTTGTTTTGGTCTTCTTCCTGCTGGACGTGGATTGAATTTAAGGTTTATGCCTTTCTGAATAATCTGGAATGATTGCTGTTAAACCTAATTTTTTTTATGTTTTCTTTTTTATGTTTTGGTGTGTGAGATAGAATTATACCTACATGTTTCCTTCAACGAAAAAACAATGTATGCAAGTGCTGCTGTGCTACTTGAGAAAAAAGAATGAGCCCACATGTTGTGAATGAAATTGACTTCTGAAATTAATTTTAATGTGACTCACACAGGGTGGAATCACTTCATCTAATATTGCTACAAAAGCTTTGGAAGCTACACGTGCCAAAGTCATGGGACAAGCATTAGCTGGTGTACCATTGTGGTAGCTTGGTCCTGAGAGTAGATTTCCTGGGGTCCCTTATATTGTTTTTCTTGGTATTAAACATTTTAGTTATTCCACACTAACACAGAAATAATTGAACCTTTTGACTCAAGGTAACATCGTGCCCCTCAAACAGGTAATGTTGGTGATAACAGTGCTCTTGCTAAAGTGGTGAAAAGTTGGGCTTCCCCATCTATAAGTTCTACAAAAGAACTTCTTCTTGTAAGATTCTCGACATTTTAAAGTCTTGTCAAGGTTAATTTCTGGACCACTTATCGGATTTAAATTTTTCTTTAACTATTTTCTTGTTGTAAAGAATGCAGAGAAGGGCGGTTATGCTGTTGGTGCTTTCAATGTGTATAACCTTGAGGGAATTGAAGCTATTGTTGCAGCAGTAGAGGTTGAAAAGAGTCCTGCTATCCTGCAGGTTAGGAACTTCAATATGCTTATTTTCCTGAAATCACATAATGCAGAAAACATAATTAAACTCGTTAGGTTCTCATGCCTTTTATTTTCTTTCCTGCAATATTCATGTGGGGGCTTGGGGGGTTCATAATTGTTAGATGAATAAATGTAGCTTATTTGTGAGGAGCGAGTCTATGTTCATTGTAGTGTTCTGGTGATGTTCCTTGTAGTTCGGTGCTCTGTACTCTTTCTCTTCTTAATGAAATGAAGCTCTTGCTATCCTCAGTGTTCTTTGAAAGCGATACCACGTGTAGCTCTTGATTATGAAAACATAGTATATAGCATTGTTAATGAATATATGAAAAATTAGTATATCATATATACTATCTCGAGACTTTATCTTAATTGTCTTGTGGTTGTTGTTTAGATTCACCCCAAGGCTCTGAAGCAAGGTGGAGTCCCATTGGTAGCATGTTGCATTGTTTCTGTAGAAATAATCCAAAGTAAGAGAAACTTGAGAATCTACCGCTTTTCAAAGAGAGCAAATTCAACTATCTGTACTCCTAAATAAACCACATATTTAACAATTATCCGAATAAATTGAAAACTCTAGTGTTCACATTCTGTGATTCTCTTATCACAGGTGCCTATCAGTGTTCACTATGATCACGGCATTTCCAAGTCAAACTTGCTTCAAGCTCTTGAAGCGGTATGTGAAGATCCGTGGTTTCCTGAAATATGCATTACCAAAGATGACATGCAAGTTTATTTCATAACCATTAATCTTGAGTTTTTTTCCTGGTCAATGTCGTGACCCATGAATTTCTAGGGATTTGATTCAGTCATGGTGGATGGTTTCCATCTAACTTTAGGGGAGAACATCTTATACACAAAGAGCATATCTTCCTTGGCTCATGCAAAAGGTTTACTTGTGGAAGCTGAGTTGGGTAGGCTCTCAGACTCTGAAGATGGCCTGACCGTTGAAGAATATGAAGCAAGATTTACTGATGTTGTCCAGGTGCGTTCTTCTTCTACAACAATGTTAATTGAGTGGCCTTCCACTGTGATTCTTTTGCCTATTTCTAAGGATTTCGGTGCCTTCATGGTACATATTTACAGGCCGAGGGATTTATTAATGAGACAAGCATTGATGCTCTAGCAGTTTGCATTGGAAATGTTCATGAAAAATATTCACCTAGTGGACCAAACCTCATATTTGAATTTCAGTACAATCGCAGAAAAAGATAAGTCATGATGGAGTTGTGCATGAAAAATATATGTTCTGATCGAATTTGAATTGTAAATTTAATTTTTTTGTGAAAAAATATATTGTAGGGACGTTTCTAAACTGAACCGCCCCTACAAACAGGCGGCTGGTACTACCGCCGCCCCTACAAATCGATTTTGTAGGGACGGTCTCGAAACCGCCCCTACAAATCGGCGATTTGTAGCCACGCTTTGGTAGAGGCGGCTGGCCAAACCGTCCCTACAAATGCCCATGAGCCACCCCTACAAAGCCTATCTGTAGTAGCGACACACATCACATGTGCCATCAAAAAAAGCCTGCACCTGCCAGCATTATTATTATATCGTTACACGTCACATGCGCGTTATGAGCTTCGGCGTGCTGACAAGCTCTCTTCCGTTTTGCAATAGCTAGCGGCGGGCCTCTTCATTTGAACTTATCAGTCAGCTTATCAGCTAGAATCTACAGTATTTTTCTCTCACAGTAAAATAGCTTCAGCCGGCTTATCGGAGGCCACATTATCAGCCGACTTTAATAAGAAACAAGTCAAGATCGGAGGCCAAATTAAGCTATTAACACTGTAGAGTAACCACGCACTGGGTAGATCTGGTTTGGTAGCTTGCCTGTTTGCATCACTGCCGTCCTCTGCACTGCTGCAGCCTGCATTGCTGTTGGCTTACAAGACAAGCACTGACACTGTTGACAGTGTTGGCATAGTATACTGCTGCAGACCTGCACAAAAGAAGCAGGCGACAAAAATACGAACGAGTGATTTATCAGTAATCTGAACGAGGGAATTTTTTTTTTCATTTTTAATCATTTTTAACTTTTATTTTAAAAATAGCCCCACTTACTTTTATTTTAATTTAACCGATTTGGACGCGCCAACGCAGCTGGTGCAACAAAATCACGCTGTCACGCCACATGTGTTAATGTGGCGAGATCTACCACGTTGCACAGCGACTTTCACGTGGAAAATCTTGTCACGCCATCACTTCCGTCGGTGTGACAGTACTATTTTGTCGCATCAACATGAATAACGTGACAAGACTCAACCTTAGAAAAAACATATCTTTCTCATACAACATTGGATGAAGATGATTAAGATGCTTGAGAAAATAATATAAAATTTGAGTTTTTTCATTTAAGTTATTAAGATGCTTGAGAAAATAATATAAAATTTCAGTAGCATAACAATCGTGTACAAGCGTATAAGTGTTAGTCGCCTTAGAAAAATAATATCTTTTCTATACAGTGTCAAATGAAGATACTTTTTATATGAATGTTATAGTCCTCATTGAGTTCTATATCTTTATAATTTTGATTTTAACATTTGAGATCGTAAATATGCTAAAAAATTATATACTTCCTCCGTTTCAAATTATAAGATGTTTTAGTATTTTTAGATATATAGTTTTTACTATGTATCTAGACATAACTTATATTTAGGTGGGTAGCAAAAACTATGAATCTAGAAAAGTCAAAACGTATTATAATTTAGAACAGAGTGATATAAAGTTTCATCGGCAAATTAATCGCGTAACAAAAACTTGTCGCCTCACAGAAACAGTATCTTTCATGTATGGTGTCAAATAATGAAGATACTTTTTATATCAAAATTGTGCTATCTATGAACTCTACAATTTTTTAGTTTTGAGTTTTTTCATTTAAGGTAGTTAAGAAGCTCAAGAAAAAAATATAAATCTTAATGGTCATATTAATCGCGTACCATGGCTTGTTTTATTAAGAAAAATATCATATCTTTCTTATATGATGTTCGATAAATATATTTTTTATATATATGAAAGGTGTAGATCTCGATAAGATCTACATGTTTCATTTTAAAAAGTATCTTGAGGGTCGCAGCCTCAAACGCTGCCTACGTGCGGGCACGCAGCTGCTAGCGTGGCGCGCCCGAGTTGGAGCTGACAAGTCTGGAGATACTATCTTCGCTGTTTTAATCCCGCGCTACCGGCTCTCTCCTTTCCCCTTTTCTGCTTCACCGCTGGCCACTCTGTTCACCGGCCAAATTCGCCGTCATCGGTGATCCACCTCCACCCAATTTCCTTCACCTTTAGCTTTACCTCGTCCTTGCGCATCCCCTCAACCTGGTTGCGTCAGTCCTCCTCACCGAAATCAGCCACAACACCGGTAAACCGCCGTGGCCATCTGCCATAGCCGTTGTGGGCATCTTGCCGTGGCCAACCCTGACAGTGCATCTCCCTCCGGTCTCTCTATTGCGCTGGCTTCCTCTTAGGTTTGTAATGCTCATCGCCTTGCTCATTTTGGAAATCCCGTGCAGGCCTCGTCAGAGCATTGTCGCGCTGCCGGTTCACACCATCGCCGTCGACAACGTCGTCCGCGCCGTCTCCGCTTTGACCGCATGTGCGACCAAGTCACGGTGAGCACCAGAAAGCCGTAGCAAGATCTAGCTAGGACTGCTAAGCCCTAGAACGATGAACCTAGGCCGAGCTCGGCGTAAACCCTAACCCTAGCTGTTAGCCATCTAGTTGTACATCTTATCGAGGGCTACACCTTTCATATAATTTTAAAAGTATATATTTATCGAACATCATATAAGAAAAAATATGATTTTTTCTCTAAAAAGACAAGCCTTATGCGCGATTAATATGCCCTTAAAAATTTATATTATTTTCTTGAGCATCTTAATTACCTATCTCGAATGAAAAAACTCAAAACTAAAAAGTTATAAATCTCATCAATAGCTATAACTTTAATATACAAAGTATCTTCATTTGACATCATACTTAAAAGTACGATTTTTGTGAGGTGGCAAGTCCTATTGCACAATTAATATGCTCATGAAACTTTATATTTTTTGAGAATCTTTACTATCTCACATGTAAAAAATTTAAATTATAGCAGGCATCCTAGCGCCCGGGCGTCCGGCACGAACGCTGCGTCCGTACATCGCTGCCCTTCCCAAGCCCCCCACAGAATCGGATCGAACATAATGGAATGGAATCCACCGCGCCCCTGTCCTCCATTCCCCACCGCGCCCCCGACCCTATTCCCCCAGCGCGCCTCGTTCCCCACCGCACCGTTGTCCCAAAAGCACGAAACACTTCAAGTGCAACATCACAAAAAATATGTGAACTGTCTAATACAACATCGGGATATAAATATTGCAACATCAACCTACTATGTAGTGCAACATCAAAAAATATGTACAACAACATCAAAAAAAAATTATGTACTGCAACATTCGAAAAGTATGTACTGCAACATCTCAAGCAGTAGTGCTGCAACATCGCAAAATCAACCATGAAACATGGAAAAATGAAAACAACTCAATAATCACCTTTCAGTGCTGCAACATTTGAAGAAGGTAATTTCAACAATTAAAATCCCCTACTGCAACAATCCTAACATTAGAACTCCCTTTTTGTAACACATGAATCACCTATTGCAACATTCAAAAATCATCTGTTGTAATATCCCAAAAAAACATTGCAACACGGAGAAACAACAAAAAACTTACAAAATAGCAAGGGGATGGGTTCGAGGTGCAGGCTACTACAGCCCCTGGCCCATCACCTTCGAGCTCGCCGGAGGGAGGAGGGAATAGAACCCCAGAGCTCATCGAAACCCTAGCCACCACCATGTCCCTCAGATCTAGAGGAGGAGGAGGAGGAGGAGGGCTCAAATCCAAAGGAGGAGGAGGGCTCAGATCCAGAGGAGGAACGACCTACCTCATTGGAGCCACCGCCCATGTAGTGGGGTAGGGGCGCCATGGAAACCACCAGGACTTGAAGGAAGATGCACATGGAGGAGGGGTGGGCTTGGATCCATGGAGGGAGGGAGGAGGCTTGCTCGAGCCGCCATGGAGTGGGGGAGCGGCCGCCATGGAGTGCGGAGAGAGGGGTCATGGCCACAATGATAGAGAAGAAGTGGTGTGCGGTGGAGGAGCTCAACAAATGACATTGGAATGAGGAAACGACATCGCTCTATTTTATTCTTTGGGAAACTCGTATGTGGGCGGTGGCAGGCCTAGCTAAGCGATCCGACACAACACGACACTCGATAAGAATCATTATGAAAATTATAAAGATGTAGACCTCAATGAGATCGATAACATTCATATAAAAATATCTTTATTTGACACATGTACAAAAAAGATTTTTTAATGCGACAAACACTTTACTGCGATTGTTATCTTCTTTGAAATTTTATATTATTTTTTTAGGCATCTTAACGACCTCGAATGAAAACTTGAAACTAAAAAGTTGTAGATGTCATCAGTATCTCCAGTTGAAAGGCACATCTTGCTTTCCGGTGAGTCAAACCTTTTGAAAATTTGACTAAATATATACTCCCTCCATTCTAAATTATAAGTCGATTTAACTTTTTTTGGTTCATCCATTTTGCGATGTATCTAGACATATTATTATATCTAGATGCATAGTAAAAGAGATGCACCAAAAAAGTCAAAGCTACTTATAATTTGGAACGGAGAAGTAAAATTGTACTAATATTTATGATGTATAATAAGTATTATCAAATTAAACATGTAATATATTTATATAATAAACTCATTTAGAGATACAAATTTTGATAATACTTTCTATATTTATGTTTAAACTTAAAAAGATTGCTGGAGAAATGTACGTTTATTTTAGAAAGGGAAAGTATTTGATTTCTTTTTCACGAAAAAGCCGAACGACTTCCGGCGTGTTAGGCGTGGTCCTGACGGACGACCCCACCCTCTTCCATTTCCTTAAACTAGGTAGCATGCCCGTGCGTTGCTATGGGACAACTAAACTTTTATACTAAAAACACATAGATCGCACGATAAGATAACAATACTGTAAAATTAAATACCGACGTTAAAATAATATTTAATCCAAAAGCAAATTTCATGAAATTAACATAACTTTTGTACTAAAATCACACGGATCGTACGATAAGATAACAATACTGTAAAATTAAATACCGACATTAAAGTAATATTTAATCCAAAAAGCAAAGTTCGTGAAATTAA